CAGAATTATTAGAGCTCAGTGAAGAAAAAAGTGGATGTGAAATTTGCTGAGAGTAGATCTTAGCCATGGAGAAGTGCAGACTATTCCAGAAACCAAGAGACAAAACTCTGAATACAACACAGCATACACATCCCCACCCTCCCAGGGCCCCACTAAGACAACTACCTGAAGCTGCAAGGTATCTGCAATCTGCATCCACTGACACTTTCTGGGGGAATTTCTGGAGTGGCCTGAAATAACAGACTCAGGAACCGTCCTGAAGTCAAAAACCAAAGCGCCTGTGCGAGAAAGAGCCACTGGGCAGATAGTAACATCAAAAGCTAATTGCTATTTATACACAAAGCATAGTTTCCCTCTGCACGGTCAAGTACCCCAAGACATTTAAGGCACTTAGAAAGTAATTAAGTCAAAATGAGCCATCATGGGCTCTCCTAGCCACGTGTGGTTTTTTATAAAACTGAAATCACTTAAAAATTCAGCCTTTACTCAGTTTTAATGTGTTCGAAGTATAATCTGGCAGTGTGTGAAACCGATTGATACCTCTGTTTTCCTTCTAATTTTAAGCCACAAAGCCCTGGAGACGCGCCACATTTATTTCCCCCACTTTACCTACTAAACCAACAGCCAGAGCTCAGCTTATTTTAACAATGTGGATTACGGGATGGTGAAGTCAATCACCGCAATGAGCCGGGCTCGCCAGGGCTGCTGCAGTGAGTAGGTGGGCGTCACCCCCCACATGTGGGCACACGGAGGCCAAGCTGCAGGCGTAGTTAAACTGCCAGGCACTGACCGCACTGAAATTGGAGCCCTGCCTTTGCCCTCCATTCACAAAACTCATGGTAATTAATTCATGATTAGCTCATTTCAGCTAATATATGAGCCTAAGCTTTTGCTGAGTGATGTAATATTTCAGAAGTGGGACTGGGCAATGGAATTTATTGGACTTCCTGAAATCGCCAGTGTAATTGTTTTTGCTGTTCACATATTAGCCACAGTCTCAGGGGGAAAAGCTGATTCTTCTCGTATAATGCTCTTGCCCCGAGGTTTGAAAGTCTGTCATCTTTCTCAATATACTCACTTCGTTAAATAGTTTACAGCTTGCAAGAGGGTCACAAAGTTGGAGTAACAAAATGATTGTCCTGACAGATTTAGACAATAAAACACCAGATTGTTATACAAATGTTTTTCTCAGAGGCTTTTTCTGAAACACATACTAAATGCAAATATTAAAACACCTGCATGCCAAGCACAATTCTTTTCACAGATGTTAATCCCTGTACCTCTAACCAATGGATTCAGATCCCATAGAGGTAATTGACCCCATTCAGATTGTCTTGGAAAGCTACCAATGATCTTACTTCAATTTGACAAAGAAACTATTGCTCCCTACATTACAATTTTAATTTTATACTTTATAGTGGGAATAACTAAAAAAGCAAGCAAAAAATATGAAAAGTCAAGTGGAAACTCAGAGCCTCTCTAGGACATCACAGGTAATGACGTAAGCTGTCTTTTAGCACATAAAATTTACAAAGATCGATAAGGTTACAAAATTTTTAAATGTTTCCCCATGGCCCTGAAAATTAAAATCCTTTGTTCTGTCACTAATCGGGACAGCCCACTAAAGAGCAGTCACCTCTTCCTCCCTCCATTTCTGAGACCTGGTGGGTGCGTTGGCGCATAGTAAAACCTTCCCAGGTCTCATGGAGTATTTCCTGGTCAGGATGCCTCTAAAAGGCCCTTTCTTCTATTCAAGTAGACTTTACTTTTTGAGCAGTTTTGGGTTCTCAGCAAAACTGAATGGAAGGTCCAGAGATGCCCATATACCCTCTGATGCCCACATCCACAGCCTCCCCCACCAGAGTGATACCCCGGTTACAACTGGTTAACGTACATTAATGCATTGTGATCACCTGAAGTCCATAGTTCGCACTGGAGGGCACTCTTGCTGTTGTATATTCTATGGGTTTGGATAAATGTATCCATCAAAATAATACCAACAGAAAGTATAATTGCCCTAAAAATTCTCTGTGCCTCCCTATTCCTTCCTCCCCCGCAGCCCTGATCTTTTTAATTCTTCGATCACCTGCCCCCTTCTCCAGCCTTGAATCATCATTATGAAGTCAGTTGTTTAATAATAATGAAAATTACCATTTGGAGGCCCAGTTTTAGGTGCCAGACTTTGCACCAGGTGCTTGACATGCATTCTCTCACTTAATTCTCAAATACCCCAAGAAGTGTGCTTTATTTTCCACATTTACTGATACTGTAATTCAGCAAACCCATAGATTTGTGCCCAACGCACTCAGTGAGGAAATGCTGTGGTGGGGATCTTCACCCCGCCCCAAGTCTAATGCCTCTGCCGTGCACCATAAGGCCTTTCACAGAACTACAGAATCATGTTCTGTTGGGGATGCCTTCTTTTCATTTTAAAACATCTTTTGTTCTTTTTTTTCTTTTTAATAAATATGCAGTAATAAAGAAAAATATTTACTTAGGCTGTCGAATTACTTCAAGTACACATACTGGCCTCATTCTCTGCTTCTGTGCCGGGAACCAGGCTGATGAGACTTGCATGGTACAGATACCTCATTAGTGTTCAATCAATAAGGATTTACTGCTTGACAAATTAGTATCTGCATGGATTATGTCATCTCAGAATGTTACTGCCCCCTGTCTTCTGCACATCGCATGGCCCTATTTATTCAAGAAGCTTCTAGATAAAAACATCCAGACTTCTACCATGAAAGTCCCTTCCATCCCTTATGCTTCATCAGAGATAAATCAACCCAAGTCACTCGCACACCAAGATTAAACTCCAGTCAGTTCAAGCAGGAGCTGGCTATGGAGTCCCGGCACCCCAATACATGCACACATTCTCTGATACCGTCTCCAATATCAACTACTACAGGGATGCAAAATAAGCTCCAAAAGTGGTTTCTGCCCTCAGAGACCTTAGCCCCTCCTTGAGAACAAAATGTTCACTCCTGTGACACCGTGAGAATCAGGGAAGTATCTCTTAGAATATTAATAACAAAATCTCAGTTGAGGTTATAATTATAATGAGAGTTAAGGATGAGATAAGATTTCTCTAAAATGCAGGCACCAAGAAGACAGCTCTTAGAATTTTTATTTTCAGAGATGGGTAGAAATAAATACACATAAAGGGATGGCAATGGTTGGGTGACGTTCTCTGCAGGCCTTGCCAGCAGAGACCCAACTGCCATTATTGTTCCAAACTCTCCTCAGGGATGTGCGTGTAGCTGACCACCTTGGAAGACGGAGAGAACGTCTTTCCCCAGGGCAGAGGAGCAGGCAGGCTTCCTGCCCATTAAAACATGTTAAAGTATCAGATTCCCTAAGCTCAGGGTCCACTCCTGCAGCTCCAGCCCCATCTGTGTAGGTATCTCCTGGGCCTCTTCACGTGGTCCCCGGGGGACTGGAGCTCAGGAACTTCTGAGTTATGAAACTGTGGCAGGGTAACTTGTTAGCCTGCAAGTAGGATAAAACATCAGGCCCTTCACAGTTCCAACCAGGCATATTTGAAACAGAGATCATAGACTGAATAAGGGCCCGGGAGCAAGAATATGCCAGAAGAGACACAGAGAAAGAGATGAGTATCTCCATGTAGCGCTAAACAGCAACCAGAATAGGTCTTGATCACACCACTAGGAATGAACTTGCACCAAGTGCATTCCAGCCGGGTGTAAAACGACTGCATTGTGAGAGGAACTTTTTTTTTCTGCCAGGTGCCATTTAAGGCAGTGGAATAATACATTTAGTTATGCTATCTGTGGCAGCAAAGAATCAATTCACTTCCCTAAGAATGACCAACGCATCAAAACAGAATTTAGAAAAACTCTGACCCACCGTGACTTATGCTGTTCAAAATAATGGGGGCAGAAGCCTGAACCATTGGCATGGTTTCTTTCCAGCGAATTAAATTTAGACTTCACCAGTTGTGTTCCCCTGTCTCTTTGGTCACAGGAACTTCAGAGCCAAATTGAACTTGCTTTATTCACAATGGTCTGAATGGTCCTGTTCTAATTCTCCCCAGATCTGACTTTCACATCGTATTCCCTCTGGTCTTGACTTTCTACTCATGCATACTTTTAATTTTATTTTACATATTCATGTGCATCCCCTCCAATATTTTCTGGAACAAGGTGGACTATTAATAAGTCGATATCAATTCATTGACTGTTGACATCATTAAGTAAGCCTTGCTGAATCCATTCACTGGCTGCCCAAAACTTCACCTCCTTTCCTTCATACCGTTCCCAAGGCACAGGTGGAAATTCCAGTCAGATGTGCACCAAGCAGGCAATGGGGTGGCTCTTCAACTTCTAGAAGTGGGGTAATGATTTTCTTTCATTCAGCAGACAATTCCAGGAGCCGGAAGAAGGGGAAGGGGAGTCAGTGTGAAATAACTCAGGTTCTTCCCCAAACGTCCCAAAATTTTTGCATGATCATGAAGAGAAAGGGTGACATCCAGATTATTCTAGATACGGCAATGATTGGCTCCACATACAAGTGTGCAAAGAATGTGCTTGTAGATAACTTGACATCTGGGGTGATGGCATCATATCAGTAACATGTCCTGGTAAATTGTACTTTTCACCTTCAAGTCTGTTTACAAGCATTATCCGAAATGTGTTGACACAAAGTACCACCTGGTTTAATTAAATTGAAATAATTCAGGGCAGAGACTGGTGGCTGGACAATCGGAAGATGCTTTCCAAATGCTATGCTCCCCATGGAAGTGTGTGGACCCTGTAAAATAACCATAATTATTTCAGCACCATAAATCAAGCTAAAATATTTGTTTCCAGAAATGTCCAGTAGAACGAACACCTTCCAGACCTAAGTCATCTCAACATAACGCAGCTGTCTGGGAGCCACGCTGGAATTTCTGTGTTTTCCTTTTTTTCATGAGAAAAGCACCTTGTGAAGTCTGGATGGGAGGTGAGATTTACAACATCATATTTAAGGATCTAGGAAAAGCATAAATAAGACAAGGACAATTGTGAGCTTTGAAAAAAAATGTTTAAATTTACAAGAATGTGCTCTAAAAGGCAGTTAGGTACACAATGTAAACGATGCAGGGTTCAAGGGTGCTGGACATAACAGAGGGTAGGAAAGAGCACAGTTTTCAACCAGAGGGAACAAGACATAAGAACAGAGAAGAGAAGATCCACTTCTGTCTTTCTCCACAACCCGTAAGGCGAGGCCGCGCCTGTACCTGCGGTGGGAGCCCCCTGCAGAGGCTAAGAGCGGGGCTTCGCCATCAGGTGGGCCACCTGGATCAGACTAAGGCTTCCTCTCTGTGTTCCTGACAAGTCACTCCAACTCTCTAAGCCTATTTTCTCACCAGCAAAATAAAGATAGGAAGGTTGCTCTGAAGAGCGGGTGACATAACGCCTGGGAAGCACAGAGGACAATGTGTGGCACACGTGAGACTCTCTGAGTGGCAGAATTTTCTTGAATATTACTTTTTGATTTAGTGATAAAATGTACTGCAACAAGGCTGTGCCAGATGCATTCTTCATTTCTGATTCAATGGCTGTATATGTAAGCCTGTGTTACAGGCAGAGGTCTCTGCTTTCCACGGTGCCTGAGGGAACCTGACTGTCATAGGATTACAGTCACCTAACTTTATCAGACTGCAGGAGCTGCACTCAGTGCTAAAATTGTCACGTGTCTTTGTATTTCCCCACATGTTGGAAGGTTGGGTCTGACCCTTTGTCTCTGTGAGGGCGACCTCAGCATTTGAACCTTCTAAGTAGAGCCTTCCTGGAGATTTTCAAATGCAGATATCACACTCGGAAAGCTTCTCAAATATTAGACACAGTACTTAGTTTCAAATATTTATCACACATCTCAATGGACATTTCAGTATAGTCCATCTCGCTGTGCCAGACATAAGACACAACATTAAATGTATAGGTGCTGTCTGCATTTTAGGACAGTCACAAAAGCAAGCTGTTTTTTAATAAAACCTGGTTGGTGACCAGATTAACTACAGCCTCAATTCTATTTTTCCCCAGTGAAGGAGTTAATGTTTAAAGAGATATGATTTTTTCCAATGCTAATCACGGCAATTGGGCTCACATGCAACAAATTCCAGTCATGTATTAAAAGACATGCACATAAAGTAAATAAAGTGCTACAAGAAGCTGGTAGAATACCGCTTGATCTAAAAGCAGCTATAAAACAACTGGAAATTAGTGGCAGAAAACCAAACCAAAATTCAAATAAAACAGTTCTGAATTTCAATATGTTAATGAGGATAGATGTTTTTATTTAGAGATCCTGTATTCACAAATAATGTCCCAGGACTGAGCAACTGTACAAATAAAGAAAGTGTGTGATTAGCTATTAAATAATTAATAACTGAGTAGCTGTTCCGCGGACTGTCTGACACCCATGTCTTCTCCTTCTCCACAGAGCTAACTGCCTTTTGGCCGGCCTCTCCTGCTTGATTTGGTTGTGATCTGGTGTCAGGGATACACAGCCTTTTTCTCTGCAGGGCCAGGTAGTAAATATTTTACGCTCTGCAAGCCACACAGTCTCTGCTGCACCTACTGCATTCTGTCCTTGAAGCAGGAAAGGAGGTATACACAATACCCACAGCCAGCCCATGACCCGAAGACATGTTGTGCTCCAATAAAACTTTCTAAAAACAAGTGGCTGAACAGATTTGTTGAGCCCCACCCCCACCCCGTCTTCTGTCAGCAAAGTAAACTCTATTCTTAGCCCCTAAATGAAATCAAAGAAGAAAAAGGAAATATATGCTTTTGTTGACCACCTGACCCAAATGTTGTCTCAACTGTCTGAGGATCAAAATGAAAAATATAGTTAGAAGTGTGATCACCCTCAATTATAAAACTTGCCCTAACTTAATGATAAGTCATGCTTCTCAAAGATTTCTCTTCTCCTTGGATGTACAGATCACACAAAGCTATATTTAAAAGCTACTTCAGAAATATTTCCTTGAAGAGAATATTTCTGGAAAGCTTGAAGATCTTTCACTTTCTAACACAAGTGACTCTTTTCCAAAATGTGGGAACAGTCAGAAATTACTAAACTTGCACTCAATATGTTGCTGTCTGCTGCTTGGAAAAGACAAAATTCAGACGCTGAATATTGTGGTACAGAAAAAGAAAACACCATGTGCAAATGTTTTCACTTAATTGAAAACCATCATTCTAACAAAATTTCAGATTGGAACTAAAGTATTCTAAGAAAAGTAATAGGAGATAGGAGTAATCCTTAGTTTCAATATACTCATTCATTTGTTCCTTCAACAAATAAATATACATTAAGTGCCTAATATATGCCAATACCATTCAGACACCAGGAACACGGTAAGCAGAAAACAGCAAGAAAAGTTCACAGAGCTTACGTCCTAGTGGGGAGAGGCAGAGAATAGGCAAAAGTTTAAAATATATAATATATTGGATGACGATAAGGGCTATAGAGAAAAGCTAAGCAGAGAAGGAGAGTATAGGAAATACAGGGTCTGGGAGTTACAATTTCACATAAAGGAGCCAGGGAGGCAGTTAGGGAACGAGCCAGGCCTGGGAAGGAGGTAACTGGGCCTAGGGAACAGTGATGCAAACGTCCTGTGGTGAGCGGTGACTGCCGTGTGGAGAGAGAGCAAGGAGGCCCATGCGCCAAATGCACGCAGAGCAAGGAGAGGAGTGGGGTGTCCAGGGAGAGACGAGGGGCCCGGGATGAAAGGGAGGGAAGGGGAGAGGTAGGCTGTCTTGTAGGGCTTTCACAGAGGAATGCCATTTTAACAGATCGCTCTGCCTGCTGAGTCAACACTAGACTAAAGGCGAGTCAAGGAGACAGAAGTGGGAAACCAGTCACCAAAACACTGCAGTAACCAAGCAAGATGTACAGTGACTTGTATAGAAACTTGCCTGTTTACCCCCCAGAATGAGTACATCCTCGAGAGGATCTGGAAAGACACAAGGAGATGGTTTAAAACCTGGTCTTGCTGCAACTGAGCAGGACTCCTTTGGGAGGGGTCAGGAGAGGCTTCAGGGTTGGCAGAGGAATGGGGCCTGAGAGCTGTAAGCAGTGTCTCATAGGGGTTTTCCCTGGAGTATCAGAAATTCTGTACTGATAACGCTAAGCCTGAGGCATAAAAAAGAGGTAGCAAAGGAAACGACCCCTTTCCTCTGACCCTCAAACCTGCTCCCTGTTTGTCAAGTACTGAGGCTGATCACTGGTGATTGCCACTGACTCACGGCACTGGTAAATGACACAGTTTTCCTTTGGGAAGATAGTTTCCCAAACCTCAAGAGGAGAATACCTCAGTGGTTGCATTTCAGATACAGCGGCTACCTGGCAGAGGCAGGAAAAGAGGTACTCCCCCGTTACAGTGGACAGCCAGGGACTCCCCAAATCCCATTCTCCAGGCAGCCATCAGCACAATCTACATGCGGACACATAAGAACCGATAAATAGATTTTGGAGGGCTTCACAAAAGCATGGTTATTTCAACACTCCTCTGGCACATATATTTCCTACCTGTAAACAGGAGTCTTTCCTTTTTGAAATAACTGTAACTTCATCAATTTTTTGTGATGAAATAACATTATCCACAGAAAGAAAAAAAATAAACTGCACTCGTCACCATGGATGAATCTCAAAGATACATAATGAGGAAAAGAAAAAGGGGAAAAGATAAAGCAATATCACAGAAGGATATCTCCAGTATGACTGCATTTACTTAAAATTCTAAGCAATCAAAATAAAACCATGGACAGCTTTCGGATGCATTCACAGGTGGCTGCAAATGCAGACAAGTAATCACCTCCACAAGAGAGGTGGACACGGCAGGAAGGCTTGGCTCTTGGGATTGAGTAATGTTCTATTTTTTAGACACTAAACAGTGGATATTCATTACATTATTATTCCATGAACTGCACATGTGCCCTCTCTCACATGCATGACACATTTCACAACCTCTGAAGAAAACAAAGCACTCTAAAAAAACACACAAAGACAGAAACAATCACCCAAAAATCACCACCCAGAGGCAACTACTAACAACCTTCAGGACACCTTTCTTTTTATCCACATGCACACACACACATGAAATTACATGTGTATGTAAGATCATATTCCATAAAGACTGTCTGCAGTCTGCTCTTCATTCAGCAATACCCAAGAAATGCGCGGTTAGGGAAGGAACTCTACGAGACATACTTGAGTGTAAAAAAAATCACAAGCTTACTAAGAACTAACACAAAAAGGAATGTTCTCACCAAAAGTGATTAAATATAGGTCCCTCAGACCTCCAGAATTTGCATGACAAGAGAATGTTATACGTTCCAAACAGATTTTCAGAGAATTCTGCACAAAACTGACCTTTCCTGAGAAAGTACACTTCGCTATCCTACCCTTTAACCCAGAGTCACAGCCAGACTTTTTTCATTTGTGAGCTAAATACATGTTCACTCTGGAATACATGTGCCACAAATGATAGTCATCATTTTCAGCACAGGATGAAACACCCGTATTACATCAGAGCCCATAAAATATCGAGAATGGAGGCGTTACTTTCTCACTTTCAACGTTCATGTCATGTGGAAGGCATAGAGCATTTAAGCTCTGTTCTCTTAATAACAAACTGCATCCATCTAGGACCCCAAATTCTGTCTCAGTCATGGCACCCTTTACAAATCTTAATTGCCTGTTACGACTGTGTCAGTAAACTGCTGTTTTAAGCCAGCAGCCTGCTCAACCAAAGGATTTCCATGAGCAAACTACGTTTAGCCAAAGCCTCAGTAAATATTCCCTATGAACTTGATCGTTCAGTACAGCAAGCCTGCAACTGGTAACCATACACTTCACACTCATGGCTTTCTATAAATGTTTTAGTTTGAAATAATAAATGCTTTTCAAAATACCTCCACTTTGATAGGAAAACCCTCTTCACCTCACAGCTCATTCCCACGTTTTAGTAATTTTTCTCTCATCAAGTTGACTCAAATTGAAAACATGTCACCCAGACCTGAGCCACAGAACAGCCTGGCTCAGGCTGCAGCATTTGGGGCGAGGAGCCCGTGAGTGGGACCTGAGAGCTTGCGGAGAAAGGGGTTTTTCTTATCAAAACATCATCGTTGAGTTGGGACATTTGCTCACAAAAACAAGGTCGCCTGACACAAACCATCCCCCACGTGCTATTCCAACCATCCCCCACGCCCTGATTCTGTCTCTGAAAGACTGTCCCACACCTACAACTCAACTTCCTTATTTCCTCCTAAAGAAACTGAATCGAATTTATGCGGCTATGGCTGTTTAAACGGGTTTTCCCTTTTTGAGTGAATGTAGTGTGCTCGGATACTCCCAGTTCATTAAACTGTCTTTCACAGAAGAGGAGACTTTCAGAAGCAGTAACATGCTGGGCTGTGTGAGATCTGTGTGTCGTCAGTGTAAGTAAAAACACTGGTGCGACCAAGAAACTCTATCAAGACCTTAGAAATGGAGCAAATTCTTGTCTGGACATAAGGAAGATAGTAGTGTGTGTATGACCTTCTTGGTTCTGTGCTGCTGTTTGCATGAGTCTGTTACAATCTGCCCTCAATAAACCAATTTGCCAAAGGACACATCATTCAGAAATTGCAAGAGATCTCATTGAATCCGTGTAAAAAAAATTGTCCTGCTCAGGTGTGAAGGATACTCAAGGTGGACCCCAAACAGGCAGGTGAATTATTGAGCAAAATACAAAGCAGACAAATTTCACATTATTGTAGAATACCAGCTCATTCTCCTTCATGTCAACTTCCATCTCGGGGCATGTGTGTGCGAAAGGTCCCTCATGCTGAAGTTTTATAGCTTCAGCAGAGCAATTCCAGATGAACTGCACGTTTGCTGGGCCTTAAATGCTTCTCTCCTACTTTATGGCTTCACAGGATACATGCCACAACGAGCTGGACATTAATATTGTATCTGCAGACAAAGGAAAGGACTGTATGTAAATTGGAACATACATACAGAGAGAAGGGGTGAACTGGAATTCTGGAGACCTTGAAGGCTTCAGCCTCAGTGGTTATTGTAGTTTTATACAACCCCAGCTCAAGAAGGATGTCAACAGATCCTGACAGGCTGTTCTCCTTCCCCGGCCTAGGAAAAGGTTTCCATTATCATGGTCACAGCGATTGTTTTTACCTTAAAATTGTTTTTAATTTCTGTCCTACATAAATCGTTTGATTACACTAAAGGAGATTTTTGTATTGCCCCTCACACACGTGGCTTTCTGTCTCTACACATCTGCTCAAACTGGGGTCTCTCCCTGTATTGGTCACTGTGTCTAATAACAAACGACCCCCAAATCTCAGAGAATCACACAACAAATACTCCTTTCTCATTCTCACTATGTGTAGGCTTGGTGGCCTGCAGCGCTGCTCCAGGTCCCAGCTCTGCCCTCTGTTCCCTTTGTTCTGGGAGCCATGCCCAGGGAGCCGTCGCTCTCTGGGACTGACTGTGGTCCTGGCGTGGAACAGAAGCAAAGCATCAGCACGTCATAGCTCCTGCTCTGACGTGGCATGTGTCAGGGCTCGCTCACAGTTAGTTCATGGCCAAGCGCCTCACAGGCAAGCCCAGCACTAATGGGCCAAGAAAAGATACACATCCCCTGCTCCCCTGCAAGTAGACGTTACAGATCACCCTGCAGCCGGCAGGAGTGTATAAGCCAATGAGGTTAATAATTGCAAACAAAAATAAGACCTACCCAACTCAAGCTCTGGTTCAAATCCCGTCGTCTATCCGCCTGTCCAACCTAAACACCACGTGGTCTCCCTGGACCCCTGACCACCGTGATGGCTCCCTTGGCCTGCAGCGCATGCGGCCCTACCCAGTGAACTGCCATGCCATCTGTCTGTGTTCCCGACTAGACCGCGATGGTCCCGAGAACGAAGCGCATGTTCTCTTGGTTGCTTCTCTGATTACACCAGGCATGTTTCTGCCCACCTGGGACTGAGGGAGTTGCTGGTGATGGCATTTTCTGTCATGGGAAACAAGTTTAATCCTCCAAAAAATAGACTTAGTCCAAAGAGCATTATGGCCAAAACTTAATGTATTCTCTCCATGACGTATAGCATTTCCACAATAAATGTATGGAGGCCCAGCATATCTGGGGCCTAACCACTTATTAAATAAAGCATGCGGTGGGAAATGGAGCCGTGCCTTCTGCGCCATACTGGCCTCGCCCGGGTTCCAGCCCCAGCAGGGCAGCGGCAACCTGGACAAACAGAAATTTAACAAGGTGTCTCAATGTAAAAAAGCTGCGCTAAGAATGATAATTTCTAAAGCTATCTGGGTATTTTTAAATAGTTCTCCTTCAATTCTTACAACATTTTAACAATCCCAGAACCAGATTCCCGAGTCATGTGACTCAACAGGATTTTCCCAGAGGAAACCAGCGGGAGGCACAGTCCCGCTTCCCGGGGTAGGGCTCCTGCGGCTTGTAGGTGTCGTGTCGTGTCGCATGGCCTTTCTCCTGGATCGGTACTCAGCAGTTCATCCTGAGGGCTGCGTCCAGAGCAAGGCCTTCCCTGTTTCTCCGTCAGCGCTCTTATTTTTCAAATCCCCACTCAGCACAGCTCTGCAGGAGGTGCCTCCGTCACGGGGGCCGGTATCTCGGGTCAGCGGCCCCAGGGCCGCCCAGCGCCTCCCCGGCACGGCGCCCTGGGGACCGTCTGCTCTCACATTCCTGCCTGCCTCCGTGCCCTTAGTTGAAGGTGTGCCCACGGCTCCGGGCAGCGCACGCATTGCCTCTCCCGCCCGCAGATAGAAGCCATTAGGTAAAGCGTCCTTCTGCGCTCCTCCGGGGGAAGTGAGGACGGCTGAGTGAGCCCCGAAAGGTCTAGAGGTTGAATTTTGTTCAGAAAACTATCCAGAAGCTCAACTGCTTATCCAGTCCTTATCCTCACGAGGGGCCTGGGGACGTGCTGACAGGGAGGAATTAAGGCTCCGCCAGGCACCGGGCAGCTCCCTGGAGAGCCGAAGCTTCTGAGGA